ACATCTTTATAATCGCTTTAGTGTTACTTATCACTCGTGGTATTAACAGTGATTCATCACAAGTCATCCGATATTACTAAACTCACATCTTTATACTCGCTCTAGTGTTACTTATCACTCGTGGTATTAACAGTGATTCATCTCAAGTCATCCGATATTACTAAACTCACATCTTTATACTCGCTCTAGTGTTACTTATCACTCGTGGTATTAACAGTGATTCATCTCAAGTCATCCCATATTACTAAACTCACATCTCTAGTGTTACTTATCACTCGTGGTATTAACAGTGATTCATCTCAAGTCATCCCATATTACTAAACTCACATCTCTAGTGTTACTTATCACTCGTGGTATTAACAGTGATTCATCTCAAGTCATCCGATATTACTAAACTCACATCTTTATAATCGCTTTTAGTGTTACTTATCACTCGTGGTATTAACAGTGATTCATCTCAAGTCATCCGATATTACTAAACTCACATCTTTATAATCGCTCTAGTGTTACTTATCACTCGTGGTATTAACAGATTTCATTGAACAGAACTACGAACTTCTTACATTCATAACTGTTTCTCTAAGTTTGATCAATCCTTTTTTTTCCTACTGTAAAACTCAATAAATGGTGTACAAATAACCAAAAGCAAGTCTTGTATATTTGATTGTTCCTTTAGTCAGTGAAAGGGGAATGCATCTATTATAAAACACACTGTAATATTTACAAGCACTCACTGATCCAGAAGTATATTTATGAGAGTCGCTACTTAATGGGGTCTCCGACATGCTTTCCTAAAAAAACGTCTTAAGCTACAAACTGGCCGATTCAAACTTTATGCAAACGGCAGAGGGTGGGATTGTTAATGAAACCTCTACAGATGATGGGGTTGGTAGTGTTTTTTAGGTCTTCCCTTTCTGTAATTCCTGGATCAGCTCGACTGGCACTTTACACAAGTGCTATAAAAAAGTTCCTTTATACACAACTTACAAATAACTCTTTTTACAATCGTCTTTAATCTCAGAATTAAAAAAAAACAAATCTTGATGGCTATAAATCAAGACCAGGATATCACATTCCAGTATTATTTGCCTTAGAAAAACTTAAGTAAACAGTATATATATATATCTAACTTTGAGTTCCTTTTACAATCACGATATGTATATGTAAAACAAATCTTAAAATTAGTACGAAAGATGCATTTACAATAGAAAAATAGAAATTAAATGCTTGACCTACAATTACCAGATTTGATTTTCTAGTGTAGAGAATGTGTTCGATAAGACGTGGTATCTCACCTTGTTTTTCAAACACACATCACATTTGTCATCTCTCCCAATGATATTTTCTCCTGAAACAGCAATAAAAAGTTGGTGTTACGTAGAAACAACTTTAAATAAAATAACAAACATTTGTTAAAATATCACTGGACATGGAAAATGCTTTGAATATGATAAAGTCGAGACAGAATGATACTTATTACGTTACAAGAACATAATCTTTTAAAATAACGACTTAACCACCAGATTAGTCACTTAGAATAACTTTTGAAGTGAAGATTTCCAGTTTATAAAATTACGATAAAAAATAAAAGAATGAACATTTTTTTTTTACCTCTCCCACCAAAAACGGACGGAGGATACGTGTGTGTGTTTGTCAGCAAAATGTTTTAAAACCGGCACAATGGATTCAGACAAAAGTTGATATACATTTGGACTATGACCAAACTTAGAAGTGATTAGTTTTTTTGAGCGTCAAGGTCACAGCAAGATCACAAAAATATAAAAAAATTGCTATATGTTAACGTGGGGGGAACACATTTTCACACTATTTGTGCTCTATAACTCAGTCAAAAATTATTGGTTTTTGACGACACATGTAGAATATTATTCCTCATTGTCCGGCCAAAAATGTTCCATGTCCGTCGATAACAACAGACGTACGGATAGATTTGCGTATTTTTTTGAAGGCCAATTATGACCAAAGCTGCATGGTGGAGGTATGATCTCTACTGAGCGCCCTCTAGTTTATTTATAAAACTAATTATGTTGCATCAACTTCGGAGGAATAATCAAACACTCTCTTCTTGTTCTTCTTCACAAACATTACACACGTTAAAACCAAGATTATACCGGTCAAGAAACAACAACTTGCGTACAAATTATTGGAGCCGAGCAATTAACTTGATTAACTGATAGAACCAATTTGTGTCACGTAAAATAACAAATTAATCAAAAGTAAGATTAAACTGATTAATGTTGTTTTTGATTAACTTCAAATGCAAAGTAACTTAAATGTTACCATTATGATTTCTCATTAATTTAAGGTTGTTCAACTTAACCGATTAGTGTCAAGGAAATAATGAGTTTCTCATTCTTACTATTTTCAGTCATTCTAATTATCCAATTATCAAAATATACATAAATCACGACACAAATACTTTTACTTTTAGAATAAAGTAAAAGTATTTACACACTGTAGAAGTTTCTTCGGTTTACTTCTGATGGTAACGTCGTAAAAAGTACACATTTTCTATCATTATTTGTGAGTGTTCACAGTATTTGATACTATTACGATAATTATAATATATATATATGTAGTGCCCCCCAATGACACAGCGGTATGTCTGCGGACTTACAACGCTAGAATCCGGGTTTCGATACCCGTGGTGGGCAGAGCACAGATAGCCCATTGTGTAGCTTTGTGCTTAATTACAAACAAACAAAACTGCTCCCCAGTGGCACAGCGGTATGTCTGCGGACTTACAACGCTAGAATCCGGGTTTCGATACCCGTGGTGGGCAGAGCACAGATAGCCCATTGTGTAGCTTTGTGCTTAATTACAAACAACAATATATATGTAGTTGATTTATCGGGGTTGCGATAAACAAATTGAAAGGTATATCATAATTGGGTCCTTATTTTCCTGCACATAATTACGTGTCTGGTATTCGTGACTTGAACCTGATAAGAAGGTTATTACTGGCATATCGGCTGAAATTATTGGTACTACAAGATGGACCGGTGGATCTGGTCATCCAAAATGAGAAAATAAAAACATTTCTTTACAGTTTATTGGCAATTATATTTTAACAAATTATGTCCAGAAGAAATGCTCCGTGTTTAATACAAAACTAAAAGCTTTTAAACTTTTACATTCTCTCTTTGATATACTTTTCTTCTTGTTTCGTTTAACTCCGAAAATAAAAACCTCTTATAATAATCATCTCAGGCAGTTTGAGTATAAACATTACTAGACGCCAACAATGCAGTACTGAGTTGAAGGAAGGTTATAAAAATGTATCTCAGAACACCAGTGGAAGCCATGTGTCCCGAGTCTATGTCTTGGTCAACTTAGAGTTCTTTATAACTTGGTCAGACACACTGTTGTAAGTAGGCTGCTATATAACCTGATCACACACACTGTTGTAAGTTGGCTGCTATATAACCTGATCACACACACTGTTGTAAGTTGGCTGCTATATAACCTGATCACACACACACTGTTGTAAGTTGGCTGCTATATAACCTGATCACACACACACACTGTTGTAAGTAAGCTGCTATATAACCTGATCACACACACACACTGTTGTAAGTAAGCTGCTATATAACCTGATCACACACACACTGTTGTAAGTTGGCTGCTATATAACCTGATCACACACACTGTTGTAAGTTGGCTGCTATATAACTTGGTCACACACACACACTGTTGTAAGTTGGCTGCTATATAACCTGATCACACACACACTGGTGTAAGTTGGCTGCTATATAACTTGGTCACACACACTGTTGTAAGTTGCTGCTATATAACCTGATCACACACACACTGTTGTAAGTAAGCTGCTATATAACCTGATCACACACACACTGTTGTAAGTTGGCTGCTATATAACCTGATCACACACACACACTGTTGTAAGTAAGCTGCTATATAACCTGATCACACACACTGTTGTAAGTAAGCTGCTATATAACCTGATCACACACACACACTTTATATAGCAGCCAACTTACAACATAGCAGCCAACTTACAACAGTGTGTGTGTGATCAGGTGTGATCAGGTTATACTTACAACAGTGTGTGTGTGGCTGCTATATAACCTGATTGAATGTGTTTGTGCCTGTACATGTTAATGTTCTTTAACTGAATGTGTTTGTGCCTGTACATGTTAATGTTCTTTAACTGAATGTGTTTGTGACTGTACATGTTATATAGCAGTCTACTTACAAAAGTGATCAGGTTATATAGCAGCCAACTTACAACAGTGTGTGTGACCAAGTTACATAGCAGCTTACTTACAACAGTGTGTGTGACCAAGTTATATAGCAGCTTACTTACACCAGTGTGTGTGATCAGGTTATATAGCAGCCAACTTACAACAGTGTGTGTGTGTGTGATCAGGTTATATAGCAGCCAACTTACAACAGTGTGTGTGTGTGTGTTAATGTTCTTTAACTGAATGTGTTTGTGGATTTGAATGACTGGGGTTTATGTGCACGGTATTATGAATTAATGTGTGTTTCTGAACAGTTTTCCTAACTTTAAATTGTTTTTGTACTATTTTTAATGATTTAAAAAAAATAGAAATGTAATGATTCAATAAAATGCTTCTATCCCATGTAATTTTGTATTTTATTACTAGGTTGGATATCTGACATTTCCAGAACAGCCTGGGATTGATACTTGTTTAAAGATGCCCTTGTTTGAAGGTATTGATGTTTCATTTGGCTGTATTATACACCTAGGATTTAGGTAAACTCAAAACACTACTCAGTGCATTTTTTATAAATCATACTTAAAATACAAGTAAAGGAGGTCGCTTTCATGTGATGTTTTAGATGAAGAAGTCTGTGTGTTTGTGCCAATGATTAGTCAAACTTGCAACAACAAAAGTTACCAAACAAATGACACTTTGTCATCATCATGATTAGTCAAACTTGCAACAACAAAAGTTACCAAACAAATGACACTTTGTCATCTTCATGATTAGCCAAACTTGCAACAACAAATGTTACCAAACAATGACACTTTGTCCTCATCATGATTAGCCAAACTTGCAACACACGCAATTACAAAAAGTTAGTGTGTAATTATATAAAATAAACTTTTCACGATGATATGACTTGGCAACAATATTGTAAAACAACCATATAACAGAAACTGTTTGGTTACATTTGCATACAGTTTGCTGGAAACAAATATTTCTACCATAGGAAGTTAAAATATTTTAAACTTAGAACTTTTATTTTCTCAAGTAACTTTTATCTTGGCTAATTTAGATTTTCGACTCGTTGACACTTTGTCATCATTTGTTTGGTTTAGGCCATCAAGACTTTCTCACTTAAACAGTTGTTCTTCAACATTTTACTACAGAAGTCGAAAACAAACACTAACCCTCAAATAAATTATTTGTTTTTATACTATGACTAACATCACAATGAAGTTTTTAGCTGTTATAACATTTAATGTAAAGAACAAACCACAAACTGAATAAAACAACTCATTTTCTATGTAAAATAAAAAGTGGACCGAAGTAATAATTAGTAGAACTAATTGAAATATTAATGGGTTTGTTAATGTATCGTATAACTCTTGTTATAAGGACTCTGTAACTAACAAAGTCATTACCCTGCAAGCAATTTGGTTTGACAAATCTAGAAAAATGTGTTTGAAAAACTGTTATGGTCCATTTTGTGCCCTATCAATAATTCTAAGATTAAGATGGCATATAGTTTGAGAGCAATGCATAATATGTATGAAAAAAAGTGAACAAGACAAGAATAGAAGAATCTGTAGAATATAGCTGTTATCTTTGTTATTAATAATATGATTATGACTTCTTTTGCAGTAATTTTACAGTTTAGAGTGATGAAAAAAACCATTTTTTACTGGCAAGCTATTTTACTTACATTACAGCATTGTTTTAAAATAGTTTGAAAAACTTTAACACGGTGGATCTTTTGTTCCCAACGAGATATCCCAAAACATTTTAGAAAATTAATAACAAAATGGCACCACTTATAATATTTTTTTTATTTCTGCGATGGTAGATTACTAATGTTACTTTTTTTTAAATGTCTACAGTAAATATTTTAGGTTGTTTATAACAAATTAGAATTTGGAATTGCATCTCACAAAGTGAGAACTAATCAGTTATAGTTTGGAGGGTTTCAAAAAGTTTTTCGTTATCGTACCAGCTCGTCGGAATGTTTTTTTATACAAAGCTTTTGCTTCCTAAGATGACAACTACTCCACACAATAAAATGTCTCACAAAATCTTAATAAGAAAGTTAGATTTTCACGATACAGGTTAAAGTATCTTGAACTTGCTTTTTAGACATTAAGAACATACAAACAATTTAATAAAAAAAAATTGAAATACAGTTATTTGTAGTTTTATGAAATGTTCAAGTGTTTTTTTAGCATGTTTCTTTGCATAAGTAATTTATATTTATATGAATGATATACCATTGTATGCCTTTGGTTTAAAAAACTTTTTGATAATTGTATCCATTAAACTTACAATATCTATACCACAATCAACTCATTATTGCAAATATGTTGATTACAGGTCTCCTAGCAGTGTCTGATGAAACACATGCAATTATACTCAACTAAGCCCTATAGAACCAAACTTGGGTATATATTTCAAACATTTCTTTCCCCACCTTCTAAGTAACAATTAAGGATAACCTTTCTAACTTCGTAACTGCGAATTGTCATGTGTATGATTCATAACGCATGTATGACAGTTACAACTGAAAACCAAACTTTACATTTGAAATTAAGTGTTAACAATTCTGCTTCTGTAAAATTAAATTGTTTATACTTTAGATGCTGAAACATTTAAAAAAAATGTTACAAGTATCAGAGAATATTTGAATAATTATGCATGTCTTAAAGTTAAGGATTCACTGAGAGGCTTGCAAATACACATGCCACAATTTTACATCACTCACGTAAATCACTTAAATTATGAGTAGTTTAATAATTTTGGGGAGAGATGAGGTAATCTTTCAATTATCAGTTATCGGCACTGTATCATTGTAATTGTATTATGAGTATGACTACAGAGCTAAGCTACGTTGTTTATTGCGTTAAACTTGGAGCTTAAGGCACAGCAAAAACCACAAATCGCAATTAAATTTGATTAAGAAACTTCAATATAACATCATTTCTCTATTCAAAAACGCCAACCTGTTGTTTTTCTTCTTGTTTTTTGTCTTCATCATCAGAAAACTCTAAATCAATTGCTTGAGTTTGGTCAAAATCCATTTTAATATTAGGCCTAACGTCAAATTCCCACATCGAGTATAGACATTGGTCGTAAAACAAAAAAGGTGGCATAACTTTATCACAATAATTTATTCCATGTGGACTTCTTGTAAATTTTTATAATTTATAACATTAATATTTTATTGTGCTTCCGTATTAGTGTTTTATTTTTCTTTTGGTAGAATGTGGTACTGTTTCGAGTTTTAACTGCAACAATAATCAAAGGGACAGTACCACTATATGATTTCGTTTAGTTTTATAGGATTATAAGATATTCGTAAAGTTTAATAATTCATAGGAGAACTTGTCAGACTAGCATATAATATATTTATCCGTAAATAAATAAATAACATATTCTCAAACTTTTTTTTTACTAAAGTTAATATGAGCTTCTGATCAAAGCAAGCTATGTTCTTAGAGTGAAGGGAAACTAAAAAACAACCTTGCAATCAGTATAGCTAATTGATTATATGTTTCATAAGTTGTAGATCCTCACTTTTAGCGGTAATTTTGGCTATACCCTCAATAATATAAATATGGGCAGGATTGTTGGCAAGGGCAACTCGGTATTTGAATGAGGGGATGACAGGTAGTTTTGTTTTATCTAAAGTGGCACCCTACCTATGAAATCTTTTGAAAGACTATAGTCAAATTAGGTGTATGAATAGGAGACCAGAAAATATAAGTCCCAGCCGATATTTTCAATTATTTCAGTGTCCCAAAGAATATAGTCACACTATTTTACATAAATGTAACTATCAATAATAGTTTGTTTGCTTGCTATCAAGCACATAGCTATACAATGGGCGATCTGTGCTCTGCCCACCACGTGTATCAAAGCCAGTAGACTTAACGCCGAGCCACTAGGGGACAACTACCAATAGTAACTAATACATGACTTGTTTTCGGAATTTGTTTTATGATTTTTATGAGTATTTATATATTGACTCCCCGTGTCTCAGCAGTACGTCTGAAGGTTTATGGTGCTAAAAATCGGCTTTTAATATCCGTGGTGAGAAGAGCATAGATAGCCCATTCTGTACCTTTGCTCTTAACAACAACAACAAAAAAAAAGACATTTATTTTCCTACGTTGTGAAAATTTTGTGTGGTTTCTAAAATAAACTTTGTAATTGTGCAAAATCCATTATATTGTATATGAAATATTCAATTATCACAACGTCACACTGCTAAATAAATTTTAAGAGGGCTCTACATATTTATGTTTAAGATATTTCCCAGAGTCGTTGGCGGCAATATCTTTCCGTAATCTGTAAGAAATAATGATTCGTTTTGTGTGTATTTATAAAGTGTAAATTTTACGTCATGTTATTTTCATATTATCTTTATTCACAACATAGCTAGTGATCACTTATCGAAATACCTAAATAAACTTAATTTATATATTGAAAATGGGTTCATATCCGCCTAGATACTTTTCGTGGATAGAGGACGGAAAACTCGCTGCTTTCGGATGGCCTTCTACACCTGCCAATCTACGATATCTGATAGATAACGGTATCGTCCATTTAGTGACTTTGTCGCCGGAAAAACGACCGTTCATTCACGCTTTTCCAGAGTTGGAATGGACTGAAATAAAAATACGAGAATTTGATCCTCCAACTATAACTCAGATAGAGAAATTTATGAAAGTATGTGATAAAGCTTTTCAGAAAACAGAGGTAAGTAAATATTTGAATTTTAAAAAGTTAACTCTTACTCTTAGATGCGAAATTTTCCAGTGTTACTTAATCTAGTAAAATAGAAATATTATTAATTAGAACTCCAGATTTAAATTGTAAATTTTATACCTGTTTACTACTAATAAGCAGGTATAAATACAAATCAAACATAATTTAATGTAGTAATGCTACAATCATGTTTGATTTGTAGTAGTAATAATACAGTAAAGTATAACTTATGATATTAAGAAAAAATAATGGATCAAAAAATCAATTAAATACGAAACCCCATAATCCGATATCTTCTTTACCAGGACTAAACTTAAATTATAGAGTAGTTTATAAATTTGAATTTACTAGGTTTCAGGACTCCTGAAAGTAGTAGTTACGTAACATCAAAACATAATTAATTACTTGTGCAGTTAGAAATATAGAATGTAAAAACTACGCCTAATATCGGCTACGTTCACATTGGTGATCTAAAATGAAACAGCTAGCAAATGTAAATACAAAAGAAATAGGGTACGTTATTGAAGTTAGGACATGTATCAGAAGGATATGTTAATGATTTAAGAAGGCTATACTGAGAAGTTGAAATGCTTCTATAAGATATAATTCAAGTACCATAATATTTAATTTTGTCATCTACTTCAACATCTTTTTTGTATGTTTTATTTTCATTTGGAAGTAACGTTTATCTCTTAATATAACTTACAATCTGCATATTTTAGTGCTTATACATTGGTATTAAATATGTATATATCGATAAGCTTATTCAAGTTTTTATGGTTATATTTTCGTAAAATTCTGGTTGTATTTCTCACAGGCTGTTGGAGTACATTGTAGAATGGGCAGAGGCCGGACAGGAACAATGTTAGCTTGTTATTTTGTTAAGTTTCATAGCATGTCTCCCAGAGATGCTGTCGACACAGTGAGAAAACTTCGACCTGGTTCTGTAGAGACTTACTCTCAGGAAGTGACTGTCATGGATTATCATATATACCTATGTAAAAATTATAATTAAGAGAATAACTGTGGTATTCTAAATTTAGCATGTATAATGTGTATTTAATAACAAGTATTTCTGAAAGGAGAAACAATGGCATAATCCTTTAGCATTGTTGGTCTATTTTTCAAAAAAGTATTAATACATTGTTTTGTTTAGCTACATTTATATGGCTGTACATCCATGTACACACACACACCCGATACTTTTAAATTAATCATGTATCAGCTAGATAATGACACAAACTTGATAGTTGTTGTTTGCTAGAAAATCTTATTTCTTTCCTGATATATTTGTGTATCAGAAAAAATAATGTCTTAAGCCATCTGTAAACAGAATTTAAAAACTCAATTTGAAAACAAATTATGGAAGCCAATTACTATAAGAAAACGTACATGCACATATTGCTACGTATAAAAAAAAATATTAATTTTTTATCTTCGAACCTTTCAGACTTACAATTCATTAAATACAAACTAAAACAATACGAATGTTTCTAATTGAAAACATCAGTATACTGCAATACTGACAGTGATATTGTGTAACTTGTGTACTTATTGATGTATAAATTATACATCAAATTCGTTATTTCCCTTGGAAACAGCGGTCTCTGTATTTCTGTGACTTTTAACACTAATACTCAGAAAACTGTTTTTATTAATATTTCTATAATTAATTCTCAGTTTACCCTATTACGGTCTGGAGTTAACCTATTATTAACTCTCAGTTTACCCTACTACAGTCTGGAGTTAACCTTCTATTATTAATTCTCAATTTACCCTATTACAGTCTGGAGTTAACCTATTATTAATTCTCAGTTTACCCTATTACAGTCTGGAGTTAACCTTCTATTATTAATAATCAGTATACCCTATTACAGTCTGGAGTTAACCTTCTATTATTAATTCTCAGTTTACCCTATTACAGTCTGGAGTTAACCTATTATTAACTCTCAATTTACCCTACTACAGTCTGGAGTTAACCTATTATTAACTCTCAATTTACCCTACTACAGTCTGGAGTTAACCTCCTATTATTAATACTCAGTATACCCTATTACAGTCTGGAGTTAACCTATTATTAATACTCGGTATACCCTATTACAGTCACAAGTTTGATGTACAGTCTTACGTGTATCTCTTTTAATCAGCTACCAGTTAATAATATGTGAAAAGTGTGTGTGTGTGCCAAAAGTCAAAAATAGCAAACGTACAAGTAGGATAAACGGTGCCACAGTAGCACAACATCATTTAGCTGATACTTTGGTTTAAACATGGACAGAAGAAAAAATTTAACTTTACAAAACAGATAGTAATAATCAGTTTGATGTGGCAGGTTTTATAAAACCTATAAAAATATAGGTTTTGAAGAAAATGCAGGCTACAGCGTGGATAAAAAATATATAGTTTTATTATAGCTTTCAAAGAAAATATAGACAACAGAGTAAATAAAAAATTTATTCTTGAGTATATCTTGTCAATGTTACCAAGTTGTGCAGCAATACGACGACAATACAGTATTACAAAAGCTGATTAACATATTGCTAGACCTCTTTACAGAAGCTAATCATTCATTTCTTTCAGACTTGTACCGTTTAGTTCGTGACTTTTCAGTGTTACACATAAAACACGATCTTATCCTGAATACGAAAATGTTACCCGTCACTCAAGTTTAACAAAAGATTGAAATACCAAATCTTCACACGAAGTCCCAATTATTTGATAAAATTTTTAGTTACACTTTTGAGTGTGCTGTCCCATTTATTTTTGAATAGTCGTGCTTGAAGAAAACATTACTTAATCATGTTTCAAACATCACCAAGTTTTATTATTTTTCTAATACAAACACATAGCCTAGGCCTAAGCACCAAACAGTTTAAAATGAAGACATCGATTAACTGTTTGTGCATTTCTTTAAGAATATATTACTATTAAACCTTTATATGGAACTTTGAGAATTTTCATCTTGCAAAACTCTTTTACACTTTCAACTGACAGACAACAATGATTTAATATGTTAAGAATACAGAAGATTCTTGTATGTTTATTCTGGTCAACTTTCAGGTTTTTAAGATTTATAGACTTCAATTGGAAAACTGGCTGATATAGAAAAGCAATAAATATAAATTAAACAAAAATTTCCATCACCTAAAAAAACATGGGATTTTTTTTATCTTCTTAACGGGTTTCCTGTTCAATTCTATTTAAAAGAAAATATTTTAATGGATAAAAATTCGAACAGAACTTATAAGTGTGGATACGCAGAAGTTAGTAATTTCTGGAAAACAAATAAAAATAATGCAGCAGTAATTTTTGGTTGTTCCACATAAGAACAAGATACGTCAATCTAACAAAAGCATGTTCCACTGGAGAGTTATGTTAAAACATCAAAAAATTACTTCAAGGTGTTACGCATAAAATGTTCCTTTTAATTTTAAAATTGTAGAAAAAACTGCCATTTATAAAGTCCTACTGGTTGTTTCAAACAGTTCTACAAAATTACATTGGATTAGATGTGCAATAAATATTTACTCTATACATCAAGATTCCTTCAAGTTTTCTTTTTGTAGAGAAGTACGAACTTTGTCATCTAACTCGATAAGCGGCCGAAAGTGATTCTTTTGTATCTTAACATTAAAGATCATTCTATTAACAAGTTTGTCAGAATAGCAAACTAAAATCGTTAACCATATGTGCACGAGTGAGGGTCAATGTTTACAGAGTGCCATTCAGCATGGTATTTATTTTGTTGTCAAAATTATCAACTATTCATTTTACCCTACAGTGATAATTTAGTGACAGTTTAGTAGAGACGAGTGGATACTCTAGATATGTATTTTGTACGTTCTAGAGGTTATTTAATTGCAATGGACAAAAGTATTTCTATTCTTTACATGGACGTCACCTTGCACTCCAACAAATCAAAATATGAATCGGACTAATGTCATTAATTCACAGACGTATCTGTTGTACAAATACTTTTTTTTTAACACATCTGATATTTTGTGTAAATAAATTTGGATAACAGTTAACATTACTTCTCTAATACAGACTGACCCAGTGCACATTTGGTTAATGAACTGTATCAGTAGATGTTGATTCCATAGCAACATGTTCTAAACCAGCTATACTGCAGGAATACGATTGGTTGAATAAAAAGAAATATTCAATACAGAGAAAAAGTGACGTATAAGGAGTGTCTATAAGAATAAAAAACAAATAGCTCCGAACAGGAAACCCCCGAAAAATAAACGACCTCAAGACCTTATTTGAGGTAAAAATAAGAATGTGCTGACATGAGACATCTGCTCTGCACATCAAGTAACGCGTATATCATTTCTTCTTCTTAGCTTCCTCTTTGTTTTCGTCACTTGTACCTTCTTCAGGATGATCTTCATACCTAAGAACAGATGAAGATGAATCTTTTGATATATTAACAAACACAGAGTTGATGAATCATTTGAGAGAACTTGATTACTTGTAAGGAGTGAAGTTTCACCACTGCCATTACATACTTTCGTTAACTCAACCAAGAGAAAAACTTCAGTTGAACTTAAATATTGTAAATAATAAACGTTGGTAAATAAAGTAATTTCTGTTGTTCTGTAACCACGTTTGCATAGTTTGTTTTAATTCCTGAAATAAATTACCAATAAATTTCAGTCAGCAGAAAATGATCTGAACAAGAAAGAGTTAAGTTTACGACCAGATTAAATGGCCTCATACTCACTCAAATACAGTGTTAACCCTTTCTCATGGGAATACAGTGTTAACCCTCATTCACTAGAATAGTTTTAACCATTACTCACGGGAATAGCGTTAACCATTACTAACTGGAATATAGTGTTAACCCATATTTATTGTTATTCCATATTAACTATTACTTACTTGAAGAGGGCTTTAATGTCTCCTCTTAGAAGAGCAACTAAAAATGGAACTCCAATGCATGCTGGCACTAGATATAACAAAGCAGGCTGAAAATATAAAAAAAAACATATTTAATGCACTATTATAATCATGCATATTTTATCAGTTTGATAATCATTTCCTAAAAATTCACAGCAGAAACTTGGAAGCAATATTACAAAGTAAACGTAATCTTTATATAAAAAAAAACTAGGTGGTCAAGAACCAGTTTAATTGAGAATCGTACAAGTTTCTAAAAGAAATAATTAAATTTTTTTTTTTACATATGTTGTATTTGTTTTAAGTTTATTTTATAACTCTTTAATTGAAGCAAATAATATTTACTATTCCTTTGTTTTTAATCACAATGGGCTATCTGTGATCTGCTCATCATGGGTATCAAAATCCAGTTTTTAGCATTAGAGGTCTTCAGACTTACCACTAAGCCACTGGGATTTTTATCATCAGAAATTTATTATAAACAGTTATTACGTGTACAAGCCATTGAAACAATCCAAATTTCAACAGAATATGTAGAGTAATAGTTCAAACAGAACGTTTCTTATTGTTACATCTGAAACTTGCATGTTATAATTTCACATTGATAAATGGGGAAGGTCACAAGGTCTCTTCTATTCAAACATGCTTAAAGGTTAATGGTCTATCTTCCTATTGACTTACCTCGTATATAAAAGTAAGATCACAGAACAGCAGGATGCAAATTTTTTAAATGGGTTTTTGATACTTAAATTACAAACAATTTCTTTTAAATACATACTGTTAAAATAGCTGATACGACTTTAACTTACAATTAACCAGAAAAAGTTCTGGTTAACTGATACTTACTTGTGCATGTTTAAAGTATGTCATTACAATCACTGTTGTTATGAGGCCAAGAAAATAAGCTAGAAAACTTGAATAAAAATACACATTCTGTTCTCGCTTCAGGCTGTAATAAAAAACAAACCCTACTTAATTCTACACATCAATTTAGGGAAAACAAAAATAACTTCACTTTTTTGGCAACTAACATAAAAAAACTACCTTTCTATAGATATTTAAATCAGTATTATCACAACTGAAACGATATGACAAGTCATAAGTGGGAAAAATAATATCTTGATAATTTTTTTACTAGTTGTGTATTAAGAATTATGAACGTACGAACCTTTCTTACTTTCAGCAAATAAGTTGACATCCGTTTGAACTGGTTTTAATGTAGTTTAATGATTTAGTAACTTGATATTTCAAGATAAACTTTCCTAAAAATAATTTGCTGTTGAAAACGTAAAATAATAAATTAGAGAAGGGGTGTTGTACCCAGGTTAATGAGGGTGATTAGACACGGCAAAATAACGTTTCAGAAGTGGTGTTGTAGCCAGGTAATGGTGGTGATTATACACGGCAAAATAACATTTCAGAAGGGGTGTTGTACCCAGGTTAATGGGGGTGATTAGACACGGCAAAATAATGTTTCAGAAGGGGTGTTGTACCCAGGTTAATGGGGGGGTTAGACACAGCAAAATAACGTTTCAGAAGGGGTGTTGTACCCAGGTAATGGTGGTTATTATACACGGCAAAATAATGTTTCAGTTGGAAGTGATAAATGTCAAGTTGTAGTTTGGACAAAGACTGAAATATTTGGAGAATTTTCTTTTAGAGAGAGTGAAGAATAGATTGCTGAGAAAAAATATATTAAAGGTAAGGAAGTCTAAAACAGAGACTTCACAATGGACTAGTTTATATTAAAGGTAAGGAAGTCTAAAACAGAGACTTCACAATGGACTAGTTTATATTAAAGGTAAGGAAGTCTAAAACAGAGACTTCACAATGGTCTAGTTTATATTAAAGGTAAGGAAGTCTAAAACAGAGACTTCACAATGGACTAGTTTATTTACTGGAGGCAGGGAGAGGGTGAAAAGGAATTGTTTGAATTAGAAAAATGGAAAGAAGGTAAGTGAGAGATACAAGATAAAGTATCAAGGTACAGAAAAGGTCATTATCATATATTCTGAAACAAAGAAAATAAAATTAATCCTGGAAAAATAAAGATAAAAGTACACTCTAAGGTAGGCTGAAAACTAAAAATTCACACTTTTTCTTTTCTATATTCTAACCTTTATTGTGAGGATTATTTGACGTATCAGAATTTTTTGTGTTTTAAAAGTTTATCCTTAGAAGTAAAATCTGAGATTGGGCAAGATTAAAATCCACTTTCTTTGTTCATCGGGAATCTGCTTCGACGAACTAATCTGTAAAATTTGTTAAATGCCACAGTTTTCAAAGATGGATTCAAGATAAAACCAAGCAGTCGATAAAGCCAAACTGTTATCAATAAACTGGTTTTGGAAGAACTCGCCATGCACAGTTGTGGGTTTAAATCCTGATCAGTCTCATTGTTCACATATTTATAAAAACTTCTTACATTACACAACCATCTGTCATCCTTCAACATTTCAAAATTTTGTAGCTTCAATGTTTATTTCTACTGACTGGTCAAATGAGGTTTTTGTTTTAATTGTATGACATTAAATTATTCTTTATAAAGATGTCACGAATATTTTCCATTCACTAGCAACCATTTGTTCATGTCATTCATATTTTTTTTTCCATCATTTAAAAATATCCATGATTTGTTTTTAATTCTAAGGAAATTACATCAAATCTTGTAATGAATAAATTCTACTTATTAATCCTTTTTTCTTCATCTAAATTAGCTTTACGCTTGTTGGGGAAATTTTAAGTAGATATATCTTTTGTTTCGTCCACAGTCCTAGCACACTGGCAGCTAAATGTTTGTTTTACACAGTTGTAACATGAAGATGTAATGTATGTTATATTAATAACATTAGATCACGAATATTATCCAGCGTGAAAACAAAACTCTATCAATTATAACTCACCTTTGATCAAAGCGGAGCAACAGCGCGATGAAGATACCCGGGATCACAATATCTCCGAGTCCTAACATCGCAAAGTTTGTGCCATACACGCCACTCTCAAGGAAATCTTGAGGAAAAACCACTGTCACAAGATAAAAAAATTAACTTAGTATTGAAACAGCAATGTTTAAAAACTGCGAGAAAAGCCATCAAGAGAGAAAAAGAAATAAACTTTCACAGATACCTTAGCAATTTTCACACTGAAAAAAAACCCGGAAATTCTATTTCACTGGTCCATTTTTATGCTCCTGTACAACATTTATTGACTATGTCAATTAAAATTATTTTATACAAAGATTTATCAAAAACTCTATAAAAAAGTATTTCAACAGAGGTCAGATAGGAATGTTCAACTTGTACAATAAATCATGACGGCTGTTACTGGTTTACTTACAAAGAGGGTGAAATATGATTTTCAGATTCAGAGTACAACTATGAAACAGTGAAATATTATTACGGGCATTTTTGGGTGTGACAGTTGCCGAGGTATCCATGTTAGAATTAAAACAGAAATCTAAGATAATGTATCAGATCAGTAGTAACCCTTGCTTCTTATTAAAGAGAGTAATAAGGATTAATAGACATTTCAAAAAATATGTCATACATCCTATGAAGCCAATCCTGAAGAAAATATATATACCTAAAAAACACTTAGTAATTAACAACCTGTTTTAACTTCAGAAATTCTTCACATTTTTATCTAGTTTATTTAAATATCATATTCATAATGAATCTTTTATTTATTCTACTAACAAACATTTTTCATTGTTTTTCACGAGAAAAAGAGTATCTAATTCACGTACACTTGATGGGAGCTTCGAACGACTTGGCGACAGTGACCATAACATCAGTACCAAAAACCTGTACATAAAATATTAAGAAAAGATTTATAAAATCAACAACAATAATAAATATACAATACAACCAGTATCCTTCTATACGTATTAGATGCTCAAGTAGCTCTACATCTGCCCCCCCTAAAAAAAACAACAACAAACATTAGTAAGGTCTAGGAAATCTCTCTACACACACCCACATAGATACATAAAAATATAACAAAAATAAATCAATAAAAACCTGAATGACTGACGCAGAAACATGTGTCAACAATATAGTCGTATGCGAAGAGTTACAGCTGAGTCAACCAGGGGACAAACTACACAAAAGTATCACAACTAAGAAATGTTTTATTTCACAGGATTGAAAGCTACTATTATAGTTTCTATTTGAAGTCAAAAACAGTATAAAGAAATTCTAAAAATGATTATCAGTTTACAGATATGAGAAACAGAACCAGTAAATGTAAGAAGCACAAATTAGACTCAATCAAGTTCTATAATCATGCTAAAGTTTTTATTTTTAGTTAGAATATAAAGAAATAAACCCAAACTCATATTCAAGAACTGTAGAAACTTCTCATTATACTTAAGTTCAGTTTACAGGTAAATTGTTTGTTCTTAATTAAGCACAAAGCTACACAATGGGCTATCTGTGCTCTGCCCACCACAGGTATTGAAACCCAGATTCTAGCATTGTAAGTCTGCAGACGTGCCACTGGGGGGCTTGTTTGTTTGAAGTTAAGCACAAAGCTACACAATGGGCTATCTGTGCTCTGCCCACCAC